TGATTCTTTAATGGTCAAATTAGAACAATAAAATTACAAACAGAATGTTTGGGTACACCGTATAACATGAAGTGTGTAGCTTACTCCCTTCAGCATTGAGACTATACATAAGGTTTACAACACTAGTAAAATCTCATTTATAATACTGCATTCATTTTTATTCACCATAACTCTAAAATTACATTAGGTAATTAAATATTCAGACATTTATCGTTCTGTGGATTGGTGAATCATAAAAATGAAAAAAAAACAAACAAAAGTAGTGAGAGATATTCCTTTTTATAAAAAACAAAGTGTAGATAGGGTCAATCAGTTTTTTGTAGCAAAGAGCCACAACTTGAAACTAAAAGAGAATTAATTCTTGAAAGATGCCGTGGTATTGATGCTTCAATAAAATGGCTGGGCTGCTTGTTACTTAGGAGAGCTGTGGGTGCTTTCAACAGGATTCCTAGTTACAGTAGGTGTCTTAAGGCCCAATCTAGGCTCCTTGAAGTAGCAGCTAGAAATTGGATCTATATACAGTAAGGGGTGGCTTCTCTTGTTCTTCAGATTACAATCTGTACACTATATGTTTCATATTGTTTTATAATCATCAAGGAGTTGACTTGAATTAACACTCATCTTTTATAAGCATGCTGCCTATAAACTCTGCAATTACAAATCAGCAAATAGACAACGTTAGCACTAAGTACAGCCCCCTATTTCTGTGTCTCCAGTTGTAAATTATGGAATAGAACTGCCTCCTTAGAGTTCGCTGCATTTTGGTTTATAAAATCATTAAGAAAAGATTTAGTACAGTCCATACAGGTCTGATTGTTTGTAATCCCATATTTTTCATGTTTGATTTATACAGTACATTTCATTACATCTGTCAATATGCGATGTTACTGTTGTAATGCTTGAGTTGAGTACCGATAACACATCACAACACTTTGAGGAGTTTTGATTGAGTGCCAGTTTCAGTACTCATCATTTTTAATGTAGTAAATCAGAATAGTTTGTAATGAAAACTGTGTTAAGTAAGTAGACTGGAACCAGTGATCTCTCTGTCCGAATTTGGACATTTTATTGAAATAAAGAGGAGTTTACTGTTTGGACTCGGTGGAAGAAAACAATATTGCATAAGCGTCTAATGTTCTGCATTCAGTCCTTAGGTTAATGTTCTCCAATGAACTAAAAGAGGGATTGATGAGTCCAAGAACTGTTC